AAATATTTTTATCATTCAACAGAAATTTGGGGTAGTAAACCTGAAAATATTTCAGTGTGTACTACTGACAATGGCGTAAATATAAATTCTGCAATGACATTATTGAAATGGAATCGATTATGTTGTTTTGAGCACGTAGTGAACAATGCTGTGACTAAGGTATTTGCATTGGCCCAATTAAAAACTATTATTTCAAAAGCAAAATTAATACAAAATGCAATCAATCACAGCTTGTGTTAACAGCTAATCTTCAAAAAATTCAACGTCGACTGCAATTAGCAGTTATCAAAATACCGTCTGCATCGCCCACACGTTGGTGATCGTTGTTTCATTTAATTAAATCGGTACATACAAATTATCAAGCCATAAATACTTTATTCGCCGAAAGCAGCAAGACCAAGTACCGGAATTTAAACATAGATATTAATGACTTGGACATGTTTGAAGTTTTGACTGAAACATTAATAAATAAATTTGAAGAGTTTTTCAACCACATGGCAAGAGAAACTTATGTAACTGCAAGTGTACTCATACCATTGTTAAGCAAGTTAAATTCTAACAGAATCACCAATCAAAATATCAACTCGCAGTCGCAGGATCTTTTTCCAACAGTTGATGATGCAGAAGAAACTTATTGTGCAGAAGTTGAACAAAAACGAGCTATTGCATTAGAAATTGAAACAACAGTTTTAAATTATATAAATTCCAAATACGATAATGATGATGTGAATATTTTTTTGAAAACTTGTTGTTACTTAGATCCTAGATTCAAAACTGACTGTTTGTCTTCTGATGATGTCAAAAAAGTTAAGGTGAACTTGGAACAAACATTAAATCACTTAAAAAACAAAATTTTTATTGGTGAAGGATTACCTGAACAAAAAAGAAAAGAAAAATTAAGTGGTATAGCTGCTCTGTTGTCAGTGGATAATACAAGTACAGAAAATTCAGTGCAATAAATATGAGGCAATGGGAACAATTCACTTTTCAGAGAATCCTCTTGCATGGTGGTAATTGCACGAAACCCATTACCCATTTTAGCGGAGTTTAGCAGAAAAATATTAGCAGCCCAAGGAACAAGTACAGCATCTGAACGTGTGTTTAGTTGTGGTGGCAACGTAATTTCAGATATTCGCGCTTCTTTAACATCTAAATATGCAGAACAATTAATTTTTTTGGCCATAAACAAAAAATTGTACCAAAATAGCTAAATAGTAGGTAGTTATTTTTTTTTATTAGTTTGTTAATTTGGTATCTCTTTCGAGTAGTTATACTAGTTGTACTACTACTACTACTAAGTACTAACTCCTACTGTAGATATATCATATACATACTATACAATAATACTATATATAACTAAGTATAATAGAGGAAAGGGTGCAAATATGGGCTGGTCTTGTAATATGGGCTAGATAAGTTTCTCAGCTATTCGATGCAGATTTCTTCATCTGACTATTGCAAACGGTAATTGGTGAAGTAAAATTGTCACCGTAGCGATGGCGCCACAGTGGTAGATGTTTCACACTTTATAATAAATGTTTGTCAGTTACTGTGAGTGTCAAAACTTTTTCGGGTAAGTTTATAAATTCTAGTACTTGAAAATAAACAATAATGTCAAAAAAACGTCTGCGTCACATTGAAGCCCTATAATCAGCCTTTGATGTATGCTAATTAGTTTTCTTCAAATTGACAACTTTTAAAAATAACCTCGTTTGTTGTGTAGCGCGAGCATGTTTGCAATATGGGCTATGCTTCGGTTTTGATTATGGGCTAGTGGCCCATATTTAGATACATGTAAAATGCACTTGAATTACTTCAGGATGTCAAGACAAGAGCTGAAAGAAGCGAAAAAAAGAAAACAATGGGATGAAAAAGATATGGAACGTGCGATAATAGCTGTCAGGCAGCATGAAATGGGTACGCTAAAAGTGTTCAGTAATAACCGCTTCACCGTACAAAAATGAATTGATCCAGTCGCTCAACAAAGTCAAAGGGAAACAAAAAGGTACAGAAGAAGACAAAGAAAACAGAAAAGGAAAAGGAATAAAAAAAGGAAAACATAAGCAAGTTACAAAAGCCACAAAGAACAAAAAGAAGGAATCTGATTCTAGTACCGAGGAAGAGGAGGAATATGTGCCTGCAGATGATGATAGTGATTACAATGAGTTTCCTAATACCCAGTCTCCACAAGACGCAGCTGACGTGACCTGTATGTTTTGCGAAGCACCTTTTGCAGATGATAACCAGGGTGAGATATGGATCAAGTGCCTCATGTGCAATTTGTGGGCCCATAACGAGTGCGCTGGGGCCGAAACAGACGAGTATGTTTGTGATTTTTGTAAGTAATGTTTTCCTAAATAAAAAAAAAATAAAAATCTCTTTTTTTCACACATTTATTACGCATTTTTCGGGGTAGCCCATATTTAGGACCATTATTCAAAAGTCGCAAAAATTCAATTTTTCATTATTTTCGCATTAGTGAATATTTATTTTTCTTTAATCAATCTGCACTTAGGATATGTTGTAACTAATTAATAGGAATGGGATTTGTAGGCAAGGAAAAATTAAAAAATAGGCAAGGCAAAAGGCACACAAAAATAGTGAAATAGGCACAAAAAAAAGTTTTAGGCATGATGGCCTAAAGTATAGGCCTACTTTTATTACATCAACATCAGGTACAAGCAACTATTCAAAATCGTTATCTTTATCGTTATCAATATCATTTTTATCAAATTTTGTTAAACTATGAGCTACGATTAACATTTCAACATTTTTCTCAGAAAGATTATGTCTTTTATCCGTTAAAATATTTTTATACATAGAGAATGAGCGCTCCACTTCACACGAAGTGATAGGAGCAAATTTGAAAGCTTGGATGTTATCTGTAACAAAGTTGAATGGCAGTTCTGCCTCATCGCCACAAAAAATTTTTTTAATAGCCCATAGCGTTTCATAGCTTGGGTTTTTTAATAGACAATTTGATAGTTTATTAAATGCAACTTTGGCTACACGACCAGGTGCAGAACGTAAGGAGTCTGATACTGTTTCCACTAATCCAAGTGATTCCGTCAATGGCATTCCTCTTGCTTCAATTTTCTTAATCGTTTCGGGTATGATTTTGAAGTGTGTGTGTATATATGTAAGCTCATTTTTAATTCCCGGCGAATTAAAAAAGTTTTGGGCATTTTTTATTGACGCAGCGGAATTAGAATCAAATCGAGCAACAACCTGTAAAAAGTTTGTCAGTATGAATATTGTGTGAAGATACATGTTTTACCTCTTTGATTTTTTCAAAATGTGTATTATAGAAAAAAGCGGCATTTAACCAGGTTCCCCACCTCGTTAGAACAGGTTCAGGAGGTAAAGGCGTATTCGGAAGCATTTCTTTATAGATTTGTACTCTTAATGGAGCTTTTAGAAAAATTTTTTTGGTAGTCGATATTATACCATTCACATTTGGATATTGCTCGCGAATTACCTCAGCAACAAGATTTAAACCATGTGCTATACAGGTAAAGTGGATTAAATTTGGATAAAAAACCTTTAAACTTGTTGCAGTTTTCAGCATGTAGGGAGCGGCATCCGAATACATAATTTTTACTTTTGCATGCTGAATGGCATTTGGCCAAAGTATTGCTATAAATCTTTTATTAATTCTTTTGTAACTAAGTTGATTTATATACGTACCTAGACTTTCATTTACAAATCTTGCTACAGTGCAATGGTTTGTTCGCTCTAAAACTTTAGAAGACAAAAGATAAGGCGTAGCCGCACTATCTTCTGAAAGCTTTCCTACGATTAAGTTTGCTATGAAACGCCCCGTTCGGTCTGTGGTTTCGTCGACACAAATCCAAATATCGTGTTGACCTATATCTGCTTGTATTATATTTATTGCCTAAAATATGTTAAAAAATTTTACGAAAATTCAAAACTATTGTATCGTACTTACATTCTGGTAGCACTTCGGTAAATAAAGTTTGCTTAGTGTCGTACGATTAGGAATTTTTGTTTCCGTGTACTTTTCCAAAAAGTTTCTAAAGGGGGGACAATCTAACTTAAACCATGGTATATTTGCGGCTACCATTGCTGTGCACAAGTCCATGAAAAAAGTGCTCCTAGCAGGTACATTTGTAAGCGACTCTGATATTTGTGGTTGCACTACAGCTCCCTTGGCTACGAATCTTTTATGTGCATTGGTGTTTTCATGTTGAATGATGTGAAATTTTTTTTTACATGAAAACTACAAAAGCATAATATTAAAGGGATACATATGGGTACATAAACCAATACTTACAATTTTATTGCATATACGACAAAATATTTTGTCCCCCTCATGAAGCTTAAGATGGGGATTATCTTTAAGCCAAATACGTATTGAAGTTTCGATGTTTTTTGGCATTTTATTAATACACAATAATGAATGATGATAGTAATATCACGTGTACCACGTTCCGCAAAGTTGTGATTTTAGAACTAAACTTGAACACAAAACTGAAACTACCGGAAACGAAACCCGACTAACGGTTAACGCACCTAAAAATAACCTCTCGCTGCCTCATTCATTAGTCATTTCATTAGTCAACCAGTTATTGGCGCGTCCTTCGATATTTCGCGCTCAAAAAAGGCCGACAAAAGTCATGATTTGCCCAAAATAAGCAAAAATTTCGCGAAATGTAAATTTAGGCATTAAGTAGTCAAAAAAGGCACTTTAGGCAAAATAAAATTAGGTTTATATCAAAAATACGCATCAATTCGTAGTTCCATTTAAACCGTGCATTCCTGCCTTTAAAATACGCCGTAGGCAAGTTTCCTTAAAATCCCATCACTACTATCAAGATCATTTGAGCAAGTTTGTAATTTTACGTCCTTTAAAAACAAAAACAGCAGCTGAGGTTAGTTACAATTTAATTGATATTTTTTGCATTTTTGGTGCTCCGTCAATACTCCAGTCAGATAATGGACGAGAATTTGTTAATTGTGTCATAGACGAATTGACCGTCATGTGGCCACAATTAAAAATTGTACATGGCAAACCGCGCCATTCCCAGAGTCAAGGGAGTGTAGAAAGAGCCAATCGGGACGTGGAGGAAATGATAAGAGCTTGGATGATAGATAACGATTCCACTCAATGGAGCGAAGGTTTGCGTTTTTGCCAGTACCAAAAAAATAATAGCTTCCATTCTGGAATCAAGCAATCGCCGTTTGAAGCACTGTTTGGAAGGAAAGCCAAATTAGGACTAGCATCTAGTGCTCTTCCACTTCTGTTATTGAAAGCTTGAACACAGAAGAAGATGTAGAAGAAGTAACTGGTTCAGTGATAAATGAAACTTTAGTGCAAACAGAAGAATCAGATCAGATTGAGGAGGAAGATCTTCAAACTACTGAAGAAATATTATTTTATGAAGAATCGGATAAATCAGATCTGATTGAGCAGCTAGAAACCCAAACTACTGAGGAAATATTACTAAATGAAGGAACGGACAAAATAGACCAAATTGAAGAGAGCGAAGTCCAAACTACCGAAGAAACATCAATACTAAATGATGTTCACCTAAACATTAAAAAAAATCAACAAATAGCCGTCATGGGACTAGAGCAACAAGCAAAACGTATGAAGTCTCAGAGTGATTCCAAATATCCACCACTCGAATGTGGAACAACCGTAACAATTCCAGTACCCGATGTGGACCGGAGTAAAAGTGATCTCAGAAACCTTATAGGTATGGTTTTTTTCAAATGCATTTCTTATATTAATTAT